ATCACAAGCTAATCACTTGTTTTAGCCTAATGTGTTGTGGATATGTAACCCAGGAGATTAATGCATTGTGTTATGTGAATCCAGATCTTGGTGGTCTTACTTGAGGATGACATGGTTAAAAGAGTTCAGATTTTTTTGGGTGTGTGTGTGTGTAGTTAATGTCAGTTTTTTTTGGCACAGATCTCATGCCATTAAAAATAACTGCAATTGTCAACATTCTTCTTGGTAATGAATTCCACTTTCTGGTGCCCCCAAGCCAGGAAATGAGTTCACCAGCCGAATCTTTGCAGGTGGGATCCATTAAATTTACTCCTGGAAGTGAGGGGGAGAAAATAGCATTTCTTCCCTTAAGGAACCTACCCAATCGTTTATATCAAACATCTACGATCAAATGAGGAGTTTACTTAGTTAATTAAAGAAGAAAAATTAAAAGCAAATTCAAAAGTGTATTATAGATGACAAATGCCAGGCGAAGTGTTATAATTCTGCGAAACAATGTAAATTGCAATGCACACTTACACAGAAAGAAATGATCTGGTAAGCACGTTGATGTGCAGGTGAAAACGCAGAGTTATCTGGCAAGTCCTTATATTATCGAGTAATTCGATAATATAAGGCTCTCGGGGAGGGCTCCAGCGTTCCCCGATTCCCATATACGTTTACTCAAAAGCGTAAAAAAAAAACACGCCCGCCGCTTTCTATTTCCCAGTTAAGTGCGGGCAGGATGGCGGCTGCCGGGCACAACGACGCCCTCCTGTGGGCGCCTCGGTAGCAGCAGCTTGAGTGAAACCGGACCCAAAGCGATTTGATTAGCGCCCAGCTGAACCCAATGGGACTGGGCCGGTCGATAAAAGCTTCTCCAAAGCGGCGTTGAGAGATCGCCGTTTGTGGATCATTTATTCTTTTAACTTCACCCCCTGCTCGGCTTGTCCTAGGCAGCGCTGGTTCGCTGTGCTTTTTCTCCCCAGTTATGGAGCTTTTTATGCTCCACGGTATTCTCCTGGTTTTGACTGCATTGAGTGGCTGGGGTCGCTTGTCGCCCAGCGGAGGTGAGGAGGGTCTTTTTGTGTGTGTGTTCCCCTGCTTTGGGGGATAAAGTATCCTGGGATGGAGTGACTTATTTTGGAGTCTGCTTATCATAGCTTACTTAAACAACCATACAAAGAGACAATTGTCTCCTCCCCCCAGGAGTTTTATTGATGACACAGTAAAAAGATAGGTTTGCTTGTTTTAATTTTATTTAAACCGGCAGAAAATTGATAGTTTTGCAATATATTTTTCTTCCAGCCCAAATGTGGGAAATCTACTTGTGGTCTTTAAGATTCAGTTGCTATTCATGTACCTGGACTGTAGTGACCATGTTAGGCTCAGGGTTATCATGATTTAGGAACCATTCAACTTACATGGACATGTCTATGTAGCTTCCTTGCAAACTGCATATTTGCTATTGGCTTTTCAGTGTTTTGTGGTCTTTTTACTTTATGAATATCATTCAGTGGTAAAGTAGGTTGGGTGGGTGAGTTCTTGTCTGTTTTTAGGGCTCCCTTCTGGAAATTTTGGAGGACTCTGGCTGGGAGAGCCTTGTTTGTTGGGCTCATGGGTAAGGGACTTTGGAAGTATATTTCAGCCCTAATTTTAGCTATAAAAAGGCCACATTCTAAATGGTTTAAACCAGATACATGTCCAACCTTGGCAACTTTTAAGGCTTGTGGAGTTCAATTCCCAGAAATCACCAGCTGGCATGGCTGCCTGGGGAATTCTAGGAGTTGAAGTCCACAAGTCTTAAATTTGCCAAGGTTGGACATTTCTGATTTACACTGCAGCAATTTTTTTTTTTTGATGGGGCTTGCTGTTTAGATCTTTTTGAATGCCTCCTGCATTGATAGTTTTCAAAAAACATGGCTGCAGGAATCCTGATTCAAAGGACAAACTCTGATTTGGAGTGTGATGTACATCTGCATTAACTCCTGTTAAGGTCACCTTAAATTAGAAGCCTCGTGGAAGCAGCTGTGCCTCCAGGACAAACAGAGTTGCTTTAAGAAAGGCCAGGTGTGTCCAAATACATTTCAAAAAGCATTCTGCCCAAACAACAGCATAGAAATATTTGGAATTGGACTTCCCCAAGTTATAGTGTCTCTTCATCCAGGCCTTTGGGGATAGTTACTTATATAATTCTGAGTCAGAATAGCTACTATTAATTTTACTAATTAATAAAATGGACTGCTACCGTGGAAATAGTGATTCTCTGGATTTCATTGACCATTGGGCCACATTTCAATACGGATTTCATGGCTGAATGTTGTGTGGTCTAGGCTGACTGTTTTTGATCCCATGCTTTTGTTCTTCCAGATGGAAGACCTTGTAATGCCACCTTGCAAGCTGTTTGTGGAGATAAGTGTATTCCTTTCTCATGGCTATGTAACGGAGAACAAGATTGCCCTGATGGTTCAGATGAACTTTGTGGTAAGTTCTTCAAGGGCATTTCATGCAGTTGAGGGCCAAGAAACAAACATTTGGGCCCTGATTTGAAAAGTACCAGATTTGGAGGAGTGGGTGGGAAAAGCTTTTTAATCTGGTGAAAATGCTGGGATTTTTGATAGGTTATTAATTCTGATAAAATAGTTGTAGGCGCTTTGCAAAAAGGAGTGATAGTGGCTAATTTATATACTTTCACCACATTTTTGAAGCTGGGGAAAGGAACAAGTCCACATACATCAAGCAAAATATGGGGCTGCAGCAGCTCACTTCTGAAATAGAGCACAAAGAGGAGAGGGGAGATTGGTGGTCTGCTTTGTAGCATGCCAAGGTTTTTTGTTTTTGCTTTTGCTGGGGCAAATAAACCAGGAAGCCCCAAATAAAGTTTGCACAAGCACAAAACTGCTTAGTCCTGGCTTGGTAATACTTACAATTATTTACTTTCTCAAGTAAGAACAGTACTAGAGGTAAGGTGAGTGTTCTGTATATTGCTTAGTATTATTTCAACGTATACAGGTTGAAAAGGTGCGGAACAGACACTGCAGGCATTTTTACTTGTCTTAGTTGAATAACATAGTTTTTTTTTTTTCATCCTGGGTCCGTGTCTGCTGCTTCTTGCTAGTCCATGTCTAAATTTGCTCATTTTAGTTAGCTGGTCTTTTGGTTTACGGTGCACACATGTGCTCCGGGCAGCTGGTCTTTGCATCTGCCGGAGCGCCGGAAACCCGAAGACCAGGTGGCCAGTGTGCATATTTGCACCGGCCAGCTGGTCTTTGGGTTTCCGGCACTCTGGCACATGCAAAGATCAGCTGGGTGGCACGCATGCACACGCCAGGAACTAGAAGAGCAGCTGATGATGGCATGCATGCCCACAGATGGCACATGTGCCGTAGGTTCACCATCATGGGTCTATATAATGCCACAGCCTAGGTGTTTAGGACATTCTATTTAACACCAGATAAATAGGGACCAACCTACCTAGGAAATGAATTATTGTACATATGTGGGGAACCTGAACCAGATATAATTGAAAGGAAAGATACTCATTCCAGAAAGCCCTGCCTTGTTCAAATAAACTCTAATGTTTCAAAGAAATTCTGGATGCAATTAATACAATCTGTTGCTCTTGAGATATTTTCATTTGCCATCAGCTATAAGTATGGCGCTGATTGACTACCTCTTTTCTTATCTAGGAATTTCAAATTGTAAAGCAATGCAATAATCTCCATAGACCTTTGCCCTTTTATCTGATAGGACAGATCAAAGTAAGACAAGCAATGTTAATTGCTTAGCCTAATGTCCTTCACATGTTCTGGACTATAAATTCAACATACCAGACCAGACCAGCATGACTACGGTAATAAGGAGTAGTTTGGGATAGTTATATGAACCATTTGGAATACCTTAATTCGACCTTTTGCTGTGTCATTGTCAAAAAGCTGAAGTTGAGTTTACAAAGCAAGGTGTTGAATAGTTTCCTAATGTTAGTAGTCTTTGCTATGATTTTTGCCATGTTCTGTAGTGAATGCAACCTCCCCCCTACCAAAAAAATTAATTTTGATAAGACTTAGCAATGAAGAGTAAATAATGAAGACATGTGGATGTCTGGCTAAAGTTGATATTATTAGTCAATCCCTAAAATACAGTAATGAGCTTTTAACTAAGTTACAGTAATTCATGTTTGCAAAATGACAAGAAAAAATAAAATCATGGACTCAGTAGTATTCATAAAGCATCAATAACTGATTGAACATAATCAGGTTGGATAGTGTAAGCTTATGATGGAATAATCAGGGTGGCTTTGATTTGCATTGAATGGGAACTCTCGTTTCCTAGACAGCATTGCTGTAAGCTTCACTTTCTGGAGTTGAGAACTATGGTCCATCTCATCCAGGATAACCAGATTAGATAGGCTGGCCTTTCCAGCTTCCCTGCAGCAGGAGCACTTTAGAAGAGTAATCAGCTAGGAACAGAATGCCAACCCGTGGTATAACTGCATGTGTGTTGTAACTTGCCTTTATAGAAGGACTGATTGTTTTGAATCTCAATATACAATGGCATTAGCTTCCCATGGAACAGAGGATATAACGTTGGTCACTGGCATCTTCGGAAGCAGTTTAGTGCAGGGGTCTCCAACCTTGGCAACTTTAAGACTTGTGGACTTCAATTCCCAAAGCTGGCTGAGGAATTCTGGGAGTTGAAGTTCACAAGTCTTAAAGTTGCCAAGGTTGGAGACTCCTGGCTTAGTGGATTGCATTAGTGATGAGAGCTGTTTCCCCCTTAAACTGTAGAGTCTTTAACCGTGAGCTCTTGACTGAGGCATATCTATTGTGATAACTACTTCATAAACCAACTTGTTTAACAAAATCATCCCGTGCAGCTCTCTTATAGATTAGCACTGTGCTTTATAGAATTATACTCCCAGAACTCAAATGAAGGAAAGAACATCTCCAGGACTTAGGAATTCTGAATAGGTCTGTCCCAATCCACCAGAGGATATCCTATTGGGGACAAAACCTTTAAAAAGCAGCTTTGGGACAACCATGACCTGGATGACTAAGAAATCTCTACAGACCTATTGGGGACAGTTTCTGTAGAGCAGTTCTTAGAGGTGAATCTAAGGGAAAACATTTTGTTCCTTCTTCTCTATAGAGGTAGAATGTGGTGGTGATCGAAATGCCTGGCAATGTGAAGACGGATCGTGTATTGCTGCTAAGTGGCGTTGTGACGGTACCAGCGATTGTCTGGATGGCTCCGATGAAGAAAATTGTGGTATGCATTACATTTAAAGCCCCAAACAGGCTGTTTTCATGACACTGCTATTGAAAAAGAAGCTGACAGATAAGGTATAATTTGGAAAAAGATAGGCAACTGTATCATAAACTATAAAGTATGTGTAGAGAGAAAAATACAATTTGGAGAATTAAGTGTGTTTTATCAGGGCAACCTGATCTACCCAAATATGGGACACAGCACACTGCTTTCGCTTTTGTCTTTCAGCCCCAATCCCAGAAACCTTCACAGAAAATTGCTTTGGCGACAAACTATTTTTGTGTTAAATGTTTGTCAGTAAATATAAATTTAACACAATTTACAATACAATACAATGCAATACAATACAATAGCAGAGTTGGAAGGGACCTTGGAAGTCTTCTAGTCCAACCCCCTGCCTAGGCAGGCAACCCTACACCATTTCAGACAAATGGCTATCCAACATCTTCTTAAAGACTTCCAGTGTTGGGGCATTCACAACATCTGGAGGCAAGCTGTTTCACTGGATTAATTGTTCTAACTGTCAAGGAATTTCTCCTCAGTTCTAAGTTGCTTCTCTCCTTGATTAGCTTCCATCCATTGCTTCTTGTTCTACCCTCAGGTGCTTTGGAGAATAGTTTGACTCCCTCTTCTTGGTGGCAACCCCTGAGATATTGTAACACTGCTATCATGTGTCCCCTAATTCTTCTTTTCATTAAACTAGACATACCCAGTTCCTGCAACCGTTCTTCATATGTTTTAGTCTCCAGTCCCCTTTGTTGCTCTTCTCTGCACTCTTTTTAGAGTCTCCACATCTTTTCTACATCGTGGCGACCAAAACTGAATGCAGTATTCCAAGTGTGGCCTTGCCAAGGCATTATAAAGTGGTATTAACACTTCACATGATCTTGATTCTATCCCTCTTATTTATGTAGCCTAGAACTCTGTTGGGTTTTTTGGCAGCTGCTGCACACTGCTGGCTCACATTTAAATGGTTGTCCACTAGGAATACTGCATT